GAGAAGAGGCCCCAGAGGCCCTCCACGAGCCCGCGAAGCCCGGCTGGCTGATCACCCACCCAAGATCACCAAGCCATGCTGGCTGTTGCAGCTCTGCTCTGCCTTGGGCTCTTGGAGTTTTGGTGGAAAGACAGTTTTAGATAAATGGCCTGCTTCATCCCAGTGTCTATGGCAGGGCCAGCTTTGGCGCTGGGCCCACCTCCCGAGTCAGTTTGTGTTACCTTCCTCGCCTGTGGTGTTGCTTGCTGGGCACTTGGCTGAGCTGTTTCAGTGCCTTTGACTTGGGGGGGGGGGGGTTTTTTTTTTTTTTTTTTTTTTTTTTTTTTTTTTTTTTCCAAACAACACCTTGAAGTGGGAAGTGCATCCAATGTTTTTATTACGGGGACCACGCCTGGACCAGCCAGCGGTTAGATTGGCTCGGTTGATCACGAAACCGCAGCATCCGGAGCAGCGAGCAAAGGGAAATCTCCTGGCGGTGGGGAGGCAGCTGCAGCACCCACCTGTCCCCAGAAGGTGCTGGGGTATTGGTCATCCCAGGCAGCACAAAACTCCCTCCTGGGAGGAGCCAGGATTAGCTCTGCATTCTTCAGCTGGAGTCACATACAGGCAATTGTTGATTTATTTAAATAAAAGGAGTTGGCAGCCTAATCAGTTTGGAAATTAATTTCCTTGTTAATTTTGGGGTTTTGACTTGCTCATGAATATTCACAAATGCTCATCTCTTTTTTTTTTTACCTCCTCCATGTAATTTATTTTTGTAATTGTCAGATCACCTCTGAAGGTGACATTTTTCTCCTCATTCTGCAACGCAGCAAATGTATTCGATCATCTTATGCCTTGGAGCAGGAGCTCTGGCCTGGCACTGATGTCTCTTTCGTCTCCTCTTAGCCCCAGAGTCCCCGGTAGCCTCTCCGCTCTCCTTCCTCTCTGCATGCTGCCTAGAAAGAAATAAGACCAAGAGTCTCCTACAAGAACAGGGCTGGCCTAAGCTTGGTAACTGGGAGAGCTTGTCAAAACACCCTATACTGGACAAGGAGAAGTCATAACTGCCAGCTGAGGAATGGGACAAAGTGGTTAATTTTTTCTTACTGTGTCTAGAGTTCTTTGCTCCTCCTCCCACCCCGTGCTGCCAAGCACCCTTCAGTAGCACGTGAGGCAGCGTGACTAACATCTGTCACAGACACTTGATTTCTCTTATCTCCTTTCCTTAGGAGGAGGCAAAATCAGAGAAATACGGGTGTGCGTCTCCAGAGAGTACAGCTGATCTCTTCACCCTCTTTCCCAGCTCCCTCTTGCTTCGCTTTACTTATCCTGCCTGCCCTTGCTCCTTCTCTACACCAGGCAAGAGCATCCCAGCTGCCACCGCAGGTTTCTCCCTAGCGAGGTGTGCCCATATCCCACACGTTCTTCCTTGGTTCTCTCAGCGTTTCATAACGTCTGCCAGCTGGGCTCGGCTGAGGGCTGTGCTGGCTAAAAGCCCACATATGATCACCGATGCTGGGGGTGGGAGGAGCAGCAGCGGGGTGAAGAGGTGCCATCCTCACCCCGTGCTGATGCACAGGGGCAAGCTTGGCCCACCAGCATGACAGGTGTAGCAGAGACCCCCAGGACCAGTGGCTGCTTCCAGACCAGCTCATTTCTTTTGCAAACTCTGCTTTGGTACAGTCTCCATCTGTACAGCTTCTTGTCATTTGGAGTGTGCCACCTCAGGGCTTGGAGCTGTGTGAGCAGGGGCGGCCATGCTGCACCAGCCCTGGGGTTCGCCCAGCGGCACTGGTAGCTGGAAAGGGGGTGACTGAGAGAGGTTTATGATTGCGAGGCAAGAAAATAAGCCAGCAGCAACGTAATAGCGACTGCGGGAGGTAACAGCCGTGGAGGGGGTGGTAGGTGGAGGTTGGTGGGGCCTCCCTCCTGGGAGCAGAAGCATGCAAGTAGCACAGCTGGGTGCCCACCTCCCGCTGAGGGCACGAGCTCCTGACAAGCTTAGAAAAGAAAACGCGTGGAGGAAGCCAGCAGAGCCCAAAGTTACCACGGCAGTTGTGCTCCTACAACCTTTGTAACAAGCTCTTCCACACAGCTTTGACCCAGGAGAGTGGCAAATGCACACCTCCACGCTGGCTGCCTTCTCCATCTCCCGTCCTTGTTACCTCCTCCACAGTCACATCTGACTGTCACGTTCCCACCTCAGCTCTTCCCTTCTTTTTAAGCTCGCCTGATTTCTCTGTCTCTCTCCTTCCTCGCCACCCTAACACAAGGCACCCGCCCCTGGACCCTCAACAATGACCACAGACCATCTGCTCGTGTTGCCGCTGTATGTGCTGCGCTTGAACACCTTCTGTCTGCTGTCTGTGGGTAAACTGCGCTGTTCACGGTGGCCGCCCCATTAATATAGGTGGTGCTTTGTGTCACGGGTTCCTGCCTGGCAGGCTCCTAGGGCTGGTAGACCTGGCCTGGAGTGTTCAGTAAGTTGCCTCTGGTGCTACCTGAGTTAGTTGGGGTACCTGAGCAGTAGGCAGAGAAGGACAGATGGACTTGCAAGGTGTGATGATGTAGTGACATGCATTTTAATGACGGAGGCTG